AGAGAACAGACTGCCCAGCTAAATACTAGGAACCTGGATTGCTGGCCAAAGAGTTGGGCTTGACCCTACAGCAATAGCAAACCATTGGCTTTTGACTAAATGTTAACCAATAAATAGCACCATTTCTTGTCTTTTATTGTTATTTCAGATTTTTTTGGCTCAACAAGTTTCTCCATTTTGATGGTTTTTTGTGATATCTCTGGCCATGTCTAGTACAGACTTAAAATTAAAAACTAGAAACCTATGAGTTGTGTCTGGATTTTTCTATTCCCTGGCTTTGAGGGAGTTATGTGGTTTTTTTCTTTACTCAAATTTATTCTATCTGTAAAATGGAATAATTCCTCTCTTTATTCATCCATCCCACAATGGTAATCTTAAAGGCCAGGACACATGGAAGTAGTATTTCCTAACCAAAAGCATCACAGGGAGTCCAGGCTCTGATGTTTATACGATTTGGTGATAACATATAAATCTTAAAGCAGAAAAGTCAAGAATGAGGACAATAAAGTTTCAGTGTGGCTGCCCCTTCATGTTAAGCAGCAAAACACTTCTAGAACTGCTCTAAAGACAATCTTTGGTTCATCCACTCCAGCGAAATGGTCCTGAACAAGTGGAGCCACTGACAAACCCAGATATCTGCTATCTTGAAGGTGGATCAGACCTCTCAGAGCTCATGGCAGCTCTAGTAGACTGCTCAGTGGCAATAGTTACAGAATCTTTCCACTGTACATAGTTTAAATGCAGATTCACTGATAAATAATTTTGATAATTCTGTCAAAGTATGAAGACTACTTGAATTAGATGACTACATGATTGTGTTTAATTTTTTTCTAAAAGACAGTTCTGGTTTCTCTTATGCCATGTGAAATCCATCCTGCTGAGTGCTCTTGACTAGTCACGTCCTTCCTGCCATTTTAAAAACAATAGTGGCAGAGATGCAAGCTGCTGATAGTGCTCAGCAGGACAGATCAAACACACAGATGCAATTTCTGTACATTGAACAGTGAAGTAGGATAAAATTCAAATACTTACAATTGCTTAGTAGCTAGCATCTGATTGCTGCAAATTGAATCTTTCATAACAGGATTTATTGTAAATAGTACCATATTATTTGTGAGTTCTACAATAATTTCAGTCAAAGACAGTACAAGATATTGAAAGTGTGAGATTTACATGACATATACATGCTAGCTTATGCACAGATTACAAAGGGATGTTTTGTTATTAATATTCTTTTTTTAATTGCTCACAAAATAACCATAATGGTAATTTTTCTCTCTGAAATTATAAACATTATCAAATAGGGTAACTTTAAAATGCAAAAGAAAACAGCCTTATCCACTTCATTTCAACAGCTATTTTAAAATTGCAAGGCTCCAACCCCATTCTCTTCCCTTTTCAACCTAGTCGTTAAATCAGCATTAAAATTATATCTCGTTAAAATCTTTGAAATGTGGCTTTTGTATTGTTTGGAAGCAATAAAGAGTCTAGTAATCACAATTAGTGATCAACGTATCCTATCAGTAAAAAAATAAAAATAGAAATTTGAAACTAAGGTATTTTGAGGCCTACAAAACATGCTTTTATTCCTTTATGATAAAATGAGATGATAGCAATAATTTAATTGATCAATGCAATTATTCACCTTTGGGTTCAGTTCCAAATACTTCATTGGAAGTTCATAAAAGATCAACATCAAAGCATAATAAAAAATTGCACTTTGTATGTATGAGAGTTTGGTGACACTACACATACTTGATAGCTTTAATTGCAATTGATACAGAACCCCCAAAAAGCGCTATCATACAGTCAGACAATCTTCCCATTCAAGACCCAAATAAGGGAAATTCAAAAAAGAAAAAAAATCAAAACAAATAGTAGAGAGACAAGATTTGGATAATTTGTTCATTTTCTTTCTCCTGCCCTAGACAAAAAAAATCCTTTTCTATTATTTTATCATGTATTTGGGCTTTTCTATTATAAATATGAATATGAGAATGCAGCATCTCAGCAGGATCTGAAGAAAGAAGTCTTACTCTCAGATCATCTAGGACCTTGACGGAAAAGAGTCTTTGTGGGGAGTATATGCTTCAGTTTGATCTTTCTTAATTTACTGAAGTATGAATATCTCATATGCATGTTAATGTTTATCATTCTAAATAGGGAATTCCCTATCTCTGAACCTCAGAATTTTCAGTTTTCTCTCTCTCCCTTAAGCAGGTGTCTTTCCATCTCTCACAAATCAAAGGGAAGCTAAAAAGACAGCCTTTAGTGTTGCCCTGATGTGTATTTTAATAAGTTTGCCAATCAAAGCACATATAAATTTGAATGAATCATATCCATATACTTAATAGCATACAAAAGTCAATTTAACTCATGTCTAGCTTTCTTTCATGTTCATTTTATTCAAGGGCATAACTTCCTTTTTCTTTTTTTCTTTCTTTCTTGGACACCTCCAACCCCTATTGACAACAGAAATGCAGGGCTATAAATGTAAGGGCGCAATACATCATGAGATAAGTCTGGAGAACATGTCCTCTACCAAAATGCACATGAATCTCTGGTACAGCTAAAATTTCAGAAACATGCTGGGGTTTGCTTTGCATGCTAAACAGGGTCAAAAATGTGAGCACTATGTGGTTGCCCTTATGTATCGACGAGCTCCAAAGTTGAAAGATTACATTTGTGAAATTACAGCTGGGTTTCCTAGCACTTGACTCTAGCTCCTGTAAATCAAGGAATCTTAATTGAAATACCAATTTGACAATATGATAATCCTCCAATAAAAAAAAATGTGACTTCTGAACCTTTATATGTTGAAGAGCTGACAGAGGACTTCAGAGGCAGTTGTTTAACCAGACAAAATGATAGAGAAAATATGTTTTCAAACAAGATCATAAAGCTGCTGCTGATAGTGCTCAGCAGGACAGATCAAACACACAGATGCAATTTCTGTACATTGAACAGTGAAGTAGGATAAAATTCAAATACTTACAATTGCTTAGTAGCTAGCATCTGATTGCTGCAAATTGAATCTTTCATAACAGGATTTATTGTAAATAGTACCATATTATTTGTGAGTTCTACAATAATTTCAGTCAAAGACAGTACAAGATATTGAAAGTGTGAGATTTACATGACATATACATGCTAGCTTATGCACAGATTACAAAGGGATGTTTTGTTATTAATATTCTTTTTTTAATTGCTCACAAAATAACCATAATGGTAATTTTTCTCTCTGAAATTATAAACATTATCAAATAGGGTAACTTTAAAATGCAAAAGAAAACAGCCTTATCCACTTCATTTCAACAGCTATTTTAAAATTGCAAGGCTCCAACCCCATTCTCTTCCCTTTTCAACCTAGTCGTTAAATCAGCATTAAAATTATATCTCGTTAAAATCTTTGAAATGTGGCTTTTGTATTGTTTGGAAGCAATAAAGAGTCTAGTAATCACAATTAGTGATCAACGTATCCTATCAGTAAAAAAATAAAAATAGAAATTTGAAACTAAGGTATTTTGAGGCCTACAAAACATGCTTTTATTCCTTTATGATAAAATGAGATGATAGCAATAATTTAATTGATCAATGCAATTATTCACCTTTGGGTTCAGTTCCAAATACTTCATTGGAAGTTCATAAAAGATCAACATCAAAGCATAATAAAAAATTGCACTTTGTATGTATGAGAGTTTGGTGACACTACACATACTTGATAGCTTTAATTGCAATTGATACAGAACCCCCAAAAAGCGCTATCATACAGTCAGACAATCTTCCCATTCAAGACCCAAATAAGGGAAATTCAAAAAAGAAAAAAAATCAAAACAAATAGTAGAGAGACAAGATTTGGATAATTTGTTCATTTTCTTTCTCCTGCCCTAGACAAAAAAAATCCTTTTCTATTATTTTATCATGTATTTGGGCTTTTCTATTATAAATATGAATATGAGAATGCAGCATCTCAGCAGGATCTGAAGAAAGAAGTCTTACTCTCAGATCATCTAGGACCTTGACGGAAAAGAGTCTTTGTGGGGAGTATATGCTTCAGTTTGATCTTTCTTAATTTACTGAAGTATGAATATCTCATATGCATGTTAATGTTTATCATTCTAAATAGGGAATTCCCTATCTCTGAACCTCAGAATTTTCAGTTTTCTCTCTCTCCCTTAAGCAGGTGTCTTTCCATCTCTCACAAATCAAAGGGAAGCTAAAAAGACAGCCTTTAGTGTTGCCCTGATGTGTATTTTAATAAGTTTGCCAATCAAAGCACATATAAATTTGAATGAATCATATCCATATACTTAATAGCATACAAAAGTCAATTTAACTCATGTCTAGCTTTCTTTCATGTTCATTTTATTCAAGGGCATAACTTCCTTTTTCTTTTTTTCTTTCTTTCTTGGACACCTCCAACCCCTATTGACAACAGAAATGCAGGGCTATAAATGTAAGGGCGCAATACATCATGAGATAAGTCTGGAGAACATGTCCTCTACCAAAATGCACATGAATCTCTGGTACAGCTAAAATTTCAGAAACATGCTGGGGTTTGCTTTGCATGCTAAACAGGGTCAAAAATGTGAGCACTATGTGGTTGCCCTTATGTATCGACGAGCTCCAAAGTTGAAAGATTACATTTGTGAAATTACAGCTGGGTTTCCTAGCACTTGACTCTAGCTCCTGTAAATCAAGGAATCTTAATTGAAATACCAATTTGACAATATGATAATCCTCCAATAAAAAAAAATGTGACTTCTGAACCTTTATATGTTGAAGAGCTGACAGAGGACTTCAGAGGCAGTTGTTTAACCAGACAAAATGATAGAGAAAATATGTTTTCAAACAAGATCATAAAGCTGCTGCTGATAGTGCTCAGCAGGACAGATCAAACACACAGATGCAATTTCTGTACATTGAACAGTGAAGTAGGATAAAATTCAAATACTTACAATTGCTTAGTAGCTAGCATCTGATTGCTGCAAATTGAATCTTTCATAACAGGATTTATTGGAGGAGGGTTTAAAGCCAGGTGCGCCGAGTCAGCTCGCCATGTCCAGATCCGGGGACAGGACCTCCACCTTCGACCCCAGCCACAGCGACAACCTGCTGCACGGCCTCAACCTGCTGTGGAGGAAGCAGCTGTTTTGCGACGTGACCCTGACGGCCCAGGGCCAGCAGTTCCACTGCCACAAGGCCGTGCTGGCCTCCTGCTCACAGTACTTCCGATCGCTGTTCTCCAGCCACCCCCCTCTCGGGGGAGGGGTCGGCGGCCAGGACGGCCTGGGGGGCCCCAAGGACCACCACCAGCAGCAGCCGCAGCAGCAGCCACCACAGCAGCAGCAGCAGCCGCCGCAGGAGGAGCCCGGGACTCCTTCCTCCTCCCCCGACGACAAGCTGCTGACCAGCCCCCGGACCATCAACAACCTGGTGCTGCAGGGCTGCTCGTCCATCGGGCTGCGCCTGGTGCTCGAGTACCTCTACACGGCCAACGTGACCCTCTCCCTAGACACGGTGGAGGAGGTGCTGTCGGTCAGCAAGATCCTGCACATCCCCCAGGTCACCAAGCTCTGCGTGCAGTTCCTCAACGACCAGATCTCGGTGCAGAACTACAAGCAGGTGTGCAAGATCGCCGCGCTGCACGGCCTGGAGGAGACCAAGAAGCTGGCCAACAAGTACCTGGTGGAGGATGTGCTGCTGCTCAACTTCGAGGAGATGCGCGCCCTGCTGGACTCGCTGCCGCCCCCCGTGGAGTCGGAGCTGGCGCTCTTCCAGATGTCCGTGCTGTGGCTGGAGCATGACCGCGAGACCCGCATGCAGTACGCGCCCGACCTCATGAAGCGCCTCCGCTTCGCGCTCATCCCGGCCCCGGAGCTGGTGGAGAGGGTCCAGTCAGTGGATTTCATGCGCACCGACCCGGTCTGCCAGAAGCTGCTGCTGGACGCCATGAACTACCACCTGATGCCCTTCAGGCAGCACTGCAGGCAGAGCCTGGCCAGCAGGTAGGAGACAACAAAGAGGAGAGCGCGGGTAGGGGAGAGCCGAGAG